CCCTCCCCCCCCCGCGGGTGCGTCCCCCCCCCCCTTTTTTTTTTTTTTTTTTTTTTTTTTTGAGGTTTCCCAGTTTGAGGTGAAAAGAGACGACGTTGCCGAGCCTGCCTTGTCAAACTGAACCGAGCCACTACTTTCTCATTGCAGTCTCTGTCTTATGATGTTCGTGAGAGAAACCGCTTCACCGTTAGCGATGCCACTGTAATTGCTGTCAGTGATGTGCACCCTGTATTTGTTACCTCTCAGGCTGTTCTTAAAGGCATTGGTCTCTATTCTTAGTAAAGGAAACTGTGAGCTAGGTTTTTCATGAAGCGTCTGATCAGTTTTGGTAGACTGAAGTTTAGAAAATCTAAAAATACTGCATACAGGATTTTTCACTCCTTCTTAATGCTAAATATCACTTCAAATGAATGTTTGGTGAGGATTTCCAGAAAGTAAAGCATCTTCCTTCTGCATAATTACCTTACTATGATGGTTTTCCCCACTTTGTACCAATTAGCATGTGAAATCTGGAATGACAATAGTTAAGGTACTAAAGTTAAATATTAAGCTTGGAGCCATCAACTCACACATGTTGAAAAATCTGATTATATGTTGGCAGACTGAAATACTTGGGGTGCTTTGGGTACTGCTCTCCAAATCAAGTAGACAAAGTGCTGTTCAATATTTTACGTGAGAAAACCACATAATGCTGGTAACATACTTAGCAGTCTAAACAACCACATTATTCATGTGATGCTTTAAACCAGTGCATAACTGAGCTCCAGCAAGTGCAGTAGCGATTATCTTCACTATTATAAATGCTGCTTGGTGATATTTGCAAGACAATCAGATTTAAGTAGCCAGAAACTACTGAGACATTGGTTTTATGATGGAGCTATGGAGATTCAAATACAAAAGCAATTAAAAAGAGAAATGAGTGTATTTCTTTGCACTATTTTGTCTTGTCAGTCACTTTGACTCCTGATTCGGGGGGGGGGGGAAGTTTTTCCATTTGTTTAAAATACAGTTGTGATGTACTCAGGAAGTGTTACTGAGAAGTTACATGCATCCACTGTTGTAATATGTGTACACAGGGAATGGCATGAACACAGGGACAACAAAATATTTACTAATGTCTTTAGGAGCCAATATAAATATATCTGTGCTCTTACTCTGCAAAGACTTACACATACTCAAACAACTTTATATTCAGAGCTGAATACTTGGATTGATTTCAAGTAGTGTTAAGCACTGGATGTTAATAGATTCAGCCTACTGATTAAAAAAAAATAACTGCACAAAAAAGCTAATTGCTGCAACCAGGAAGTATCATGGTATTAGCGCCTTAGTATTTCATGCATTGTGGTTGGATATTGCAATTTTAACAGCAGTTGTTACAATTATTGCTTGATATTATGTATTTTGTTGAAATAGGAGAAAAAAGAAAGATGACAGTATTTTGGAGATCCCGTCAATTCCAAATCCTTTTCCCGAGCTGTGTTGCTCTCCGTTTACATCAGTTTTGTCAGCCAGTCTGTTGCCCAAGGCAACTTCAAGAAAAAAGCAGGTAAGATTTATAAATTATTATTTGACAAATTCTAAATTGGTTTCATGAAAGCTTGAGGAAAAGCCCAGTTACCTATTAAGTTATTTTTCTAATAAAGGTGTTCCATATTTCTGTAATTTGGTGAAATTTTCTCTGTAGGTCATCGATGGTTGTAGAAAATGAGGTTGCACAATCTGTGACTTAAGACGTGACTGTTCTTTCGCAGAGTCTACATGTGACACTGCAAATTTTTTGGGTAAAGCAGAACCAGGGGCAGGCAGGCAGTACTTTATGTCCTTAAATGAGACGTTAATTTCTTTCTTCCCTTCCTCCCCACCTCCAATTACTGTCATCAGTGCTATAACATGGAGGGTTTTAGCAGTCACTGAGCAGCTTCTTTTGTCTGAAGGTCTAATTTTGCTAGGATAATTGAATAAAACTGAAATTGATGGGGAAGGAGCAAATTCTGTGTACATGGCTGTATTTTATATGCATGTTTGTTTATCTGTGTATGGCTGATGTTGCTGTATTTCCATAAATACCTTAAACTGTAAGCCAAGGGAAGTTCTGTGTGGGCAGACAGACCTGGCAGTGCTCTGTCTCAGTATTGTTCATACACAATGTCTTTGTTAACCTGAGCAGGGGTAGAGGTTAAAGAGGAAGAGTTTCCAATTAATGGAGATTACTGGTGTAGATCTGTTTCACTCTTTGAAAGCTTACCTGTCTCATTTCTCTTTTCTGTTCTTGAGACTGAAAAGAGTTCTGACAAGGAACACCTGTGGGATTAAGGGCACCACCTCCTTCACATTCTCTTTTTTGGTGGTCTGCAAGATCCCTGTCTTAACAGTTTTAGGGGTGATATTGGAGGTGTAAGAACTTTCACTGCTGCTACTTATTCAGTTTTTAGATTTACATTAAGAAACTGCCTGGAAGTTGAAGTTTCTTGTAGTTGTATTAACTTTTCTAATGCTGACCAGCCATGGCTGTTTCTGTGCACCTGCCAGAGAACTTTACTACCAAAGTCTTGGCCGGCACCTTAAGGAGGAACCTTCTCCCTCCTTCTCCAGTGAAAAACATGTATGTGTTTGGGAAACTGCACTGATTCTATCTTGCCATATTTTGCGTGTTCTCTAAAAATAGCTATGGTGTCTTTCTGGACTACTTTTATTGCTTTTCGTTCTTTCCTACAACCGCAATACTAATCTGAAGCATTTCTGGTCACTGTGTATCTAAACATTGCTAATGCAGTGGGGTAAAATTGCGCTAGTTTCGTTTTTTGGCAAGGTGGAAGTATTGGCTGTCTTTGCAGAGGCAGGAAAAACACTGAATTGATAACATTATCTTTCAGAACATAAGGACTAGAAGTCACACTTAAAAAAAAATTAGTTTAAATTACTCATGTTGCTGGCTTAAATTGCACTCATTGTGGTAATCTTTGTGCTTGCAACTCGAAAGTAGATTTCCCAAGCATGACTTAAGACACAAAGGTCAACTGTCTGCTTTTGTGGCCTGTCATGTTTAAAATTACTGACTGGCTTGATCAGTTAAGCCAGCTAAGTGTTAGCTTCAGTCTCTCAGAAGCTGAAGTTCATAGCTTCACTGATTTCACTTCTGTTTCTTCACAAAGGCTCTTGTCATACCTTTTGCGACAATTTCTGCTCACAGTCCTTCCATTTCTCCTGGTTTTCCATTTAAGAACGTAGTGCTCTCTCTGGTAAAAGCAGGATCAAGAACAACTGGTTTACTGACAGAAGTGAGCTAAAATAATCATAGTGTCTATGGAGGGCCTGATCCATTTTCCAGTTACCAGAAAAATTGAGAGGAGTCTTCCTGTTATTTTCTGGAGGCATTTTAACAAGACCATGGTTTCTGTCATAAGCCTTTCACCTAGGTATCCATTTATGGCCACTGCAGGAGAAATGGTACTGGGCTAAGCAGACCTTTTGTCAGACTCAGCATGACTGTTCTTACATTCTTCATCTAAAGTTATTAAGGGTTAAGGCCAAATGGCAACTGTTGAGTTAAACTTTTATCTTTGAAATTCAGGTTGAAGTCTTCTAATACGTTTATAAAATCACTTAGGTTTAAAAAGGAGAGAGAGGGATTGTGAAGCAGGTGTGCAAAGAGGAGAAGTGAACTGGCTGTGACTTTGACTTCCCACAGTTAGCTGTTGAGGCTTGGAAATGTCATGTTTCCACCCTGTGTTCTTATTTTCCCAACTTTGTAACAGCTCTGTCTGCAAATACCTAATCCATATACAAAGATTTAATTGAATGTAGCCTCCAAGGTCATGAATATTACTGTTACAGTTTGATAGTTTCCTAACTCTTAAGAGAAACCAGCTACGCTTTTTTTTTATAGTGTTGACAGCTGCCAGAATTTTTTCTGTTGCCTCTCTGATGATCTGCATATGTTTTCAGTGATTCTTCTTTTATTTCTTTCTGATTTAGTTTCTTTTTCTGCTGTGCTTTTAGTTTCAGGCATAATAAAGAAAAATTACAGAGTGAATTTAGCAGTGTAGTAGGTAACTATTATCAAAATAGGTGTTACTAAAAGAAAAAAAAAAAAGTAGTTATGCCTCTTCTGTCTTGTTTTTCTCTCCAGAAAAGATTTTCCACTTCCAGGGAAAAAAGAAGTTGTCACAAATATCTACTCTCTTATTCATAGCACCTGTGACATCTGAAATCTTTCCTCTTCTGAATAGATTATTAACATTATTTTGAATTCGTGTTTTTCTAAGCTGAAGTTCTTACTGTCTTCTGATGATCTTTTATCATAAGCCTCTCAAAACATTGAACATGCTGCTTGAACAGCATGTCTGTTTGTGGGGTTAACTTATTTTTAAGTTTATAAAAGCAAATTGGTGAAAGCCGCGTAGCAGAATAGTGAGTTGCCCCTGTGCTTGGGAAGTAGGACATCTGTGTGTCTGAACGTTATTTGGTCTGCCTCATCAAGACAGCTGTCCATCCCCCCCCCGTCAGTTTGGAAGAGTTTTGTGTTATATCCTCACAGACTCATAATCGCGACGCATTAACAGTAATTAGAACAAACTTTCTGTAAGAGGCAATGTTGACTATTTTTTTCTCTTTTAAGTTAAAAAATGCAGAGAGGGGGAATGATGGGGATCAAAATAAGGAGTAAAAGTATAGAGTCAGTATAGTGACAAATTTTATTATCCTAGAGGGAGGACTGGGAGCTGGGAGAATGGAAAGGACAGACCTGCATTGAGCTGCTGAGAACATGCAGACTTGTGCCCCAGATGACCTGTTCTCAGTGGAGCATTTCATGGAGGTGACCCTGTGGAGCTGGTGTTACACTGTCACACCCGTGTTTGGGAAGGTGGAACTTTGAGACGTTTCACAAGTGGGAGTGGGATTATGTATTTAATGTCCTCATCCTCAAGGGAATAATGTGGAAGTGAAATCAGCAGCTGAACGTATGGATGGCAAGGCCACTTTGTGGATTGCGTAATGCGTTCTGTAAGAAATCATCAAGTTTGGTATCCTTGGAAGAAATGTAGGAGGGAGTTGGGTGCTTTTGGCATGAACAATGTTATATTTACATATGTTCAGATAAACTGAATTTTATGCTTCAGGGTGGAAGACTTTCATCTGAAAAGGCAAAAAACCCCAGCTTTCCCTTCATGTCCAACACAGTATGGTGAGCTAGGTTCATGGTGGGAAATGTTGCCTTTCTCTGAGGGATCGATCATTTGCTGTTATTAGGTAGAGTATGTGAACTTGTGTGGAAAATCTAATTGTGTCTCGGAGTCTGTGTTCTCTAAGAAGTGACAAGAAACTGAAATTATTAAATGCTTTGTACTGTTGTCTCTAATTGTGATCAAAATGGATATTAGTAGGGAAAAATGTTAACTGTAAGAAAATATGATCTGTTCTTTAGTATACTTTTGGTTTTCTTTGGTGAAATGAACTAAAAAGAGGTTACTATAGTTTTATGAAAGCTTACTTTTTAAGTCTTTCTGAAAACAAAACCTGAATCATTTGCACTGGAGTGACAGTTCTTGCCCTGCTCAAGGATAAGCCAAAAAGTGTTTCATCACAAAAGTAGTTCAAGGTAATTAGTGCCTTGTTTCTTTAAATTAAATTAGAAGTGCAAAAATAAAACTCAAGTAAATCTCAAGGTGAAGAACACTCAACTCTTTGGAATTTTATCTTGCCTCTTTTGTCTTTCTTGATGTTCTAAACAAGTAGATATTTTTATCATTTAGAATCCAAATATACTCCCACAATGTTCTTTCCAGGAAATCAATTGTATAAAGAGACCTCAAATACACATTTGATTGTAGTGGAACATCACTTCTCTTTTTACATTAACAAAGATTTTAATGTAAAGCTCTTTGGCAAAGAAGAACTGAGAGGAACTTTATGTCAAAGAGCAGATGTGTCTTTAAGTGTGTGCTATTCTAAGTTTATGAATAATATTGAGTATTGACTGTTGTAATTAGAGTACCATTTATTTTTTTTACAGCTATAGTTCAGAGTCTCCTAGTGTACCCACTTGAAACCTCATTCTTCAAAATTTTGCACATAATTCTATTAGCGGACATAAATGGCTAAGTATCTGGTACTTAGACTTTTTCATGACAGATTTTTTGGCTGAAATACCTGTTTGCTCTTGACTTTTAAACAATGCAAAAATGAAAGGATTTTTTTTATTGAAATGTAATAATTCATGAATTTGCAAGCAATTTCTAAGGGTTGAAATATCTCTTCCAACTAGAAGATGCATTAGTTAAATTTACTCTGTAATTCCAGTCTGTCTGTTTCTTCCCAGCTTTCTTTCCAGGTTGGAGAGTGTTGCACATATCCTCCTTTATCAGTTCTCAATCTTTTTTCCTTCCAGCTCCTAAACATATATCTGTTTTTCTTATGTCTTCCCCTTAAATTGCACAAAAAAGACTTAGAGTTTGAAAAGCAGAAGGGAAGGGAAAAAGTCTTTCCAACCAGTTTACAGATTAACAGAAAAAACATCCTATACAGAACCAACATAAAGAGCTCAAG